GAGCTGGAAGCGTCAGCCAATCAAATCCCGTTTATGCAAATCTGACAATAGAAGCGCTAGCCAATCAAACCGCGTGCAAGCTGGGAGAGCCAGACCGCAGTTCATTCTATATTCCTAACAAAAATGGAGGAGAAGTTAGTTATTGCGGTAGCAAATCACCCGGTTCTTTATGACCAGTCCCTATTTACTTACCGGGATACAAACCGGAGGAACCAGGCATGAAGGGAGGTGGCAGAGACAGTGGGTGAAACTGGTAGGTTTTCGCTTGTTTGGGGATTTTATATCCAGTTTACTTCGTTGCTAGTTTACTTCGTTGCTAGCAAGCATAGACAGTATCATTAGCCAGCATGGAATGTAGCATAAAATAGCACCATAGACATTAATCTCATAAATGTTCAAAATGTTAAAAGAAATAGTGGAGAAGAACCGGGGTTTTTTGCTTTGTATGTCGGGGGCGGGAGATTCATGTGATTGGTTGTTGGTCGCGAAATCCCCAAGCTTTCAGACACGCCCAGCTCCAAGATGTTCAAGATTTTCAAAAAGCTGCTGTGTGGACGTACCGTAAAGGAAATGGAGATTACATCTTGCCATTGTTGTGTTCTGCTTCGTCTGGGAGATACGACTCATTGATTTCAATAGCCGCGCCAGGCTTAATGTTTGAGATAAGGTTGTATTGATTCAAATCGTCTGAACGTGGCTTGAGCAGTGAGGAATTATAGGTAAGGTATCGATGCAGGGTTTTTTATGGATCATAAATGCTTCATTTTAGCAGACAATAGGATTACAACGTGCATTTTTCAAACCCTGACAGCACGACCAGACCTATGGAGGTCATATGTCCCTTCAGTACTTCATATCAGCAAATTAACATGTAGCCTGTTAACTAACCCCACATAAATGAACTAAACTAGTCTTGACCTGTTGGGGTGTTTCATGAAATATAATACTTAAATTAACTGGTTAAGTGCTTCAAATGCTGGAAATAAAAATGTCTCTGCAAATGCTCAGTCTTTCACTAATCTACCAGAAAGGACTGGAATTGATGAAAGGAAAGGAACACTTCATGTAAACTGATTTTAGTTTTTTGTATTGTAAATATAGGCAATTAGCAAATTATCTGAAAATAACCATATAATCACGATAAAACTTGAGGAGACCGTTGTAATGCATATATTTCCGACTGACCCCTCTAGGGGTTTGCGCGGTTCAATTGCACACGCATGTGGTTTTGCTTTTGACGTATTGATTCACTGGTATTGAGTGGTCGGTTAAGATGCATCTTAAGTGCATCAAATTGAATTCCTGGTTGAGATCAAATCAGTGTCAGGAGGAGATAGATACACCTCCCAGCAGCAGCGTTTAGGCTCCCTCAGGACCGTGGTATATATCCACCTGTACATCAAGATAAACTCCCTCACCTCCACAGATCTATGTGTAATTGCTCCGGGTAAGGAAGATGACAACTGACGTGTACAACATTAATGTCAGCAGGTACAGCACGATGACCTTTCCGAGGAAGAGGGAATATTATTCACGTACACATCATGGAATCGCAAAAGGCAAGGTACTTTAACAAAGGACCACTGAGTATGTCTGAGAATTCCCAGGTGTTAGTATAAAAGGTTATTGGATACAGAGCAAAGCGAATATAGCAAGAATATTACAAACACAATTCTGATATTCTATATTGCTCGGTTCTCATTGTTTGATTTAGTTAAAAAAATAGGGTATTATAGGGTTGTATGTGGGATAATGGTGCAGTATTGAGCCTTTTCTCAAGGTTCTGCTTGCATATTGCATTTCCATTTAATTGAATTGGTTATTTCTAAATTAATGAGCTACTCTTTCCAAAGTGGTACAGTCCTAACTTGACCTGTTGTTCATGACCTGTTGAGTGTAAGTGGTCAACATTGCTACATTAGCATCCATGTAAAGCTGCATTCACATGATACAGGTTTAAGTTAGCATGCCAACATGTGCACATTAAAAACATGCTGTTCAGTACCCAGGGATCTTAGAAACTAGTTGGGCAGACGGAGAGAAAAGACCTCCGCCAACATATTTCCATAAGTGAAATACAATGATTGATTGAATCTGCCCCATGATTTAAACCGGTTCCAAGATTGAAAAAGATCAAGTACGGTCCACGCTACACCCTTGTGCCAAGTTTCCTAAAAATCAGGCCAGTAGTTTTTTCATAATCCTGCTGACAAACAAACAAACTGAACCAAAAACATTACCTCCTAAGCGGATGTAATAAGGCTCTAACTGTATAAAATGTGAAGACCATAAATAAAGCAGATGTTTTTTTCTTTCTGCAAAGCTACTTTCCCATTTGCAATTCCAAGACTCCATCTGTCTCATCTGTAATGAGCCTCCGCAGGACAATAAAATCAAAGTACAATGAGCACAACCTTTCTCTCGTAATTAATTTTACTGTCTATGAGGCTTGAAGAAGGGGAAAAAAAGTGGAAACGAGCATCTTGTGCGCATTTATATTGTCAAGGACCACCGCAGGATTACGACTTCTTTTCCCAGAGAGCCACTCTAGCTGCATGAAGCACTGCAACAAAGAACACTCTTCAAACCGTATGTTGTCGTGCTTTGTGGCGTCTCTGAATCTCTCAGTGGGGACAGCCTCGCTCATGGATTACCTGGCAGATAATGGGTCGTACCCGAGTGTAATTAGATTGACATTTCATGCTAATAGCCCCTGTAATCGCTTGCTGTAGTGAATTCTAATATTCAGGGTGGGATCATTTACAAGTTTGCTGCCGGCCTACGTTATATTTATACACCTTGAGGAGATTATGTACCCATGTCTTTTTAATATATCGTTGACGGCGTATATCTGCTATGTTCTGCTCAAGTGAATTAGCTGGTCTAAGAGCCTGGCATGAAAGGAAGAGGACAGTAGACAGCAGTCGGAGGAACATCTATGTGGCCATTAAAAAATTCATCATCTTCTTCTCTCTTCTAATGAATTTGGAGGCTGTTTTTTAGCATCTCTAGCTTCGCTGGATGCACCCTCTCCGTAGTTTATTAGCCAATTCTTCTCCATCTCACGCCTTCACATCCTCCTGTGTCTTCCCTCCACCTGTTACAAGCATCCTCTTCATATTAAGTTAAACCACGTTGCAATAAAACACGAATGAAGGAAAACAAGATGTGTCAAGAACTTCCTGAGTGTTTATAAGGTCAGTGTTTGAGGAACAAAAAGGGTGCCAGCAGCTCCTCTCAACAAGCAGCTAAGCCTTTTATATAAGATGGTGTGACAGTACATCAGACGGGAAATGTATTACTGTTACACATACGTCTAATTCTAGGATAACTCATGAATATACATTACAAGGAAAAGAGGAAACCTCAGTACCTAGTCAAGGGTAAGCATGCAGTTGGATGCTTCAGCTTAGACAGAAGTGATGTCAAAGCACGTCAAGTATTGGTCTGCTATGATAACATTGAGAGATACTGACCTTAAAGAGCATGTGTAGCCTTGGGGTTACTTGCACTGCATCAAGCAAGTGACGTTTGCAACTGGTGACATGGCAGGTGACCTCGCAATTTCTCAATATATCTCAAGATCATGCAAACATTGATCTTTAAGGCTTCAAGCAATGCTATGGTTTATGTGTTGCGACGACACTGACATGTGAGTGATTGCTTGAACCAACAGGGCAGATAGTATCGATGCTGCAATAATATCAGTTATATTATAACTGGAAAGTATGTCTACATTGAACAAAGCACAGAGAATGTTGATTGACAAATGGTTCATCCAAACCACCTAACCAGTATTTTTTGAGATACGGTTTCCAACAATGGCTGATCAGATGCATTTTTGTGAACAAAATATCCAAGGTGTCAGGTTAGGTTACAGTACGTTTCGGCACTGAAAAAGACCAGCCAGCATAAACAAACAAGGATGATTGCAATAACAGGCCGTTCTCCAAGAGTTTACATGAGGAATGTAACATATTGTACATAATGAAAGATCCAGTACATTTCTCTGAATAACTTATGTGATGTTTTACCATGTTGGTATAGGGTGCTAAAAGGCTGACATGTTCAGTTGAGGATTATGGTCGTGGTTTAAGATTACAGGTGTTAGGTAATCTAACCCCTTACACAAAAGTCAAAGGATCACTGAATTTGTGATAGATTCCAGCTGAGAGGAGCATGCATGTCTGAACCAAATCCAGCCATCCATTCAACAGTTCAATAAATATCAAAAACCAAAAATGTAAACCCCATGGCGGCGCAACAGGAAGTCCCCGATGTCAGTACGATTCATCCTCTGGGGAACATGAATGTCCGCACAAAATGTAATTGCAATCTAAAACGGTTTTTGGAGTTTCAGTGGTGAACCGCTAGACCAATGTTACAGCCAATGAAACTCAACACTTCCTGCAAATGTTTGAAAATAAAAACCTACCAGATACAGGGAAGTCATGTCTCATGACTTGAACTGTTAGAGGGCTTTCAATGTGAAACATCTGTGAAGGAAGCTTTAACTTTTCAAATCGAGAAAAACTGTATTTTTTTGTTAGAGGAGAGAAACTGCTGAAGGGCCAGTGTGTTTTTATGTACTGATGGAAATGAGTGCTGTGGAACGGTACATTAGGCTGAATTTGAAGGTTTTAGTTAGCATTAAAAGCATCACATTACGCAGATAAGAAAACTAAACAGGCCTTTTTACTGGAACATAATAAAACAAGGGATACTGGAACTTATTGGTATATCTTCTTGGCACTCTTGCTTTCCCTATAAATCCTTTAAGATGCTGATAAGCTGCTTGTGTTTCCTGTTTGGGTTTATGCACCAAAGATCATTTCTGTTAATGAAGCCACATTGACTAAGTCCGTAGCTTTGGACCAGATGATCACATCTTTACTGCATGTTGTAAAATGTATATCTGGATTTTATATGCTACTCAACTGCAGTAAGAGCAACCGGTAAAGCTTTTTATTTTACCATTAGGGAAAGAAATGCACCTTATCTCTCTTAAAGCAACATTTAATTGTATTATTGGAAATTGCATTCATATAAAGACATGAGTGACATGAAGATAAAAAGCCATGTTTCTATAGAGTTGTTTTGGGAGAGGTAAGGGGACTGGAAATAAAAAAGGGGTACAAAGAAGAGGAGGTGTGAACCACCAGTGTCAGCAGGGGAAGTCTTTTATTCATACGATCTTGTGCTGCTTGCCCATGTGTGGAATAATGGGTCATTCCCACAGTAAAGGCATTCAGAGGTGGGCTCGCAGATCATCACTTCCACATGGCTGGACACAATGAATGAGACAGGGTGTGATAAAGTTGGCGGGACAGTGGAAGTATGGTGGGAGAGAAGAAAGAAAAGGGTTGGTTAAAACATTCTCCATACACACAATCACCTGCCACAGGAACACCTAATCTCTATAAACTGATGAAATGCACATGAATGCAGAATCCTTAAGCAATGGGACAAGAAATCAGTAGATGAAGTGTTCAGGTTTCCATTAACAGTCCGACAAAATGTTTTTTGTGCAGCTAAAACAGGCGGAATTTGCAATATCAGATCCAATTGGCTATTTAAAAATGTTTAAAATCTTTTCCACAGTTCACTTCAAGATGTCATAGATCACTTTTCAAGGACCAATTTCCCTTCTCACCAAGTGCGTCAGGGTTTGGTTTAACCGGACTAACCAAGGCTGGTCTGAACCCATGCCTGTATACTGTACGGACCAAATATATCGAAAGAAAAAAAGGGGGAATAAACAGGCAAGCCATGAACAAACTAGTTTTCGTGATGAAACAATTTGAGTGACAGATTTCCCTGAAAAGTCCATTAGTTGCAACAAAAACAATCCAATACCAAATTTAACAATGTTGGAAAGGTTCGTGAAATGCAGTGACATTCAGGTATTAAACTGCTTTCTGAGATTTGCCGCAGCACAGATTAATATTCCCTCCTTAAAGCAATAGCTTGGTAATGTAGAGAGCCGAGGACAAAAGCAGGAGAGTCAATTGTTCATGCTGAGAATGACCAGGCCATTTGTCTCCATCCATGGATACGCATCAATAGTGTACTTCACAAGCATAATGCCCCGCAGGTCTGGAAACACACACTCTCTCCAGGCGATGATGCTACACTTCTTCGCTGAGTCACGCACATGACATCCTGAATGGACCACACACACACATATACACATCACGTGGTCTCTCACATTTCACCCTTTATGCTGTGTCCTGCTGAGGCCTCTGTCAGCCGTGACTGACAGGATGACAGGGGGACGCTGTTATGAGTCATGCCTGGGCTGGTGGCCTCACAGCTGGGTACCTCCCGCACCACACCTGGGTACCCCGGCTGCCAGATATACCAGCCAATCCTGGTCAAAAGAGACAGAGGGACGAGCATCAGTCACACAGAGAGGCTTAGATTCAAATAGATTATTCAAGATGGAAGAAGGACGCTGAATATGGATGTGTGACAGACAGTCAGGCTTAAGCAGTTCGTAGGGTGAAACCTGCGTAATAAGGGCCGATCAGCAGGCAGCGGTTGTGCAGAAACAAACCAAAGACAGAAAAAGGACACAATTTAAAAGTTTGTTTGAAGAGGGAGTTTAGTTCTAAGCCGCAGAGCTTTTTGGTGAAGATTGTAGGATTAAAGGAATGTTCTGTAAATCTAGTCCGTGAGCTTAAGAATCAAAGCACTACTACTACAGCCCTCAGTAGATGAAAAGTGACCAGTAAGAGTTGTTTATATTATGTTCAGAGATATGTGTCACCTGACTCTTTCTCAAGGTGCTTTTTCATTGCAGGAACTTTTTCTGGGACCTTTCTCTGATCTTAGGAACTTTCTAAATGTTTGCCTGCAGGAACCTCGAGCAGGATTTTGCCATGAACACTATGCAGCTGCTGGCCAGACATTATGTATACCAATGGGTGAAAAGTATCCAAACACAATCGTGTCTCCTTTATTCTAAATGTAGACTTGGGGATGAAACATGAACCATCAGGGTGGAGTCTGCAATACTAGATGTAGTACAGTAGATATATAACCAAATTGTGGCAAACGAACCTTTCCTATTCAGCAAAGTACCAAGTACAGCTGAGGCCGAAGGGTCAGTACAGGTATTACACCAAGTAGAAGCTTGACCTGAGGATGGTAGTGTATGGACATTTCAAAACCCTATTTCAATTCATTCTCAGGGGGGAAAAGAATGTTTGCACCAAATGTTCAGAAAATCCATCCAACAATTGTTGAGACAAGACACTAATGCTCACAAAACATGTTGTGTGCAGAGTGATCTAAAGAGTGATCACGAAATCCAAAAAAAGCCTTCTCTGAATGTAGATGTTGAAACATTTTAGTCTTGACCAGCTGATGACAGAGCCATTCCTAATGCCACTCTTATAGCTTGGCTAAATACAACCAAAACCAAAGCAAAGGCCAAACTGAACTGTCAGCCTGAAAAGAAGCTTCCAACAACGCAAACTACAGATCAATGAGTGGTATATGACCCCTCCTCCCTAACTGGAACGTTCAGGTAACATGGGGGGAGCTAGAGAGATACACATCATCCAAACGCACATTAACACACAATAATATATTTGAAAATATTCCTAGGTTTTCCTGAAAAAAAGGATTACCGTTAAGGCAAAACACACACCCTAAACAACGTGTGATTTATTGTTTTTTACTTATCAGAACAGTTTTATCCCTGTTTCCACAACTTGACAGAGCCCTGTTCATTAACACCAACACTCTTGATGATTGCGCTGACCTGCACCAACACCTCAAAAAGTGCAAAAAAAACAAAACATTTTATGACGCCATCAACAAAAGACAAAACAAATCCACAAACAAAATCTAATAGGAATAAATTAATTAATAATTGTTTGGGTATGTTTTGTTGCATTTATTAAAATGTTTTGAAGTTAAGTTAAGTTTTGCATCAATTTACAACATAAGCTTAGTAATTAAAACTGCTAACAGTGTTCTTTAGGTAATTCAGGATTTAATTTAGTTATATTGAAACTTATTTAGAAGGAAACAGGGCTGGCTTGAACAAACCACAAAAACAGCCTGTGCCTGCACATCGTCATCTAACAGCTCATTGTGGTTATTTCTTCTTTTATGTGTCCTCCCTGCTATAATGAAAACTCATCTGCTGACAGACCAGCACCAAAATGTCCATTTCTTACCAATTCTTATGAAAGAATAGCACCACTAACAACATTCCGCTAAGTGACAATTACATTGCATTTCCTCCCTTAAAGCCTCAACAGTGGAAAGCTTTTAATTGGAAGCAGCTTGGGAGGTTCCTTCCTCAAACAGAGCCATAGCTTTCTCTTCTTTTGTAGGTCCATTTTGCCTAATGATCCTTTTCACAAGTTGTCAGGTGCAGTTAAAATAGAAGAATAATTGGACGTTAAGCTCTCAATAAAGATCTTGCACCTTGGTATTTGGCCCAAAATTCTCATAATCAGTAGAAATAAAAACTTCAGAGCAAACCAATTAGAATATTATGTCCATTTGACCAGTTATTCAGTAAGATAAGATGAGAAAATATATACTTTACTGATCCTAAATTGGGAATTGTGTTCTTCACAGAAACATGTTAAAACAAGGCATTGCACGAAATGTGAAATATTTAAAATATACAAACACAAAATATAAATCTCAAAATGTGAAAGAGAACCAAAAAAGGTAAATATAAGTTAAATATATACATGTTGTCAGTGAAAGATACAATTATGTACTCTATCCGTCAAATGAACACAGTGACAGACATTACCAACAGCACTTAAAAGTAGGATATTATTTACAGTAAGTTCACAAGTATACATACACATAACCACATATTACCAGCAGCCAAGAAACCCGGCTGTAAGCTCACTAATTTCCGACGGGCAGAGACATGTTGGCAAATGCAGAACACGGTCACCTTGTTTACCGAGGAGAAAAGTTGTCTCGGCTGTAAGTTGTGGGTGACTTCGCCCATCAGCGGCTAATCAGAGAGCAGCTGAAAGTACGGAGAGAGACGAGCCCTGACCCTCTAACAGACCTCCGGCCCGGAGCCCAGGACTCAGATGCTGCTAATCTAATCACCTCGTCCACATGGCAGCTCACCTCCTTCAACCTCACACACACATACACACGCACATCAGAATTTGTTGGGCCCCAGCTGGGAGTGGAGCCACCCAGACACAGCTCACTGGAGCAGGGACCAAACCAGCACCTGCTTCCTGGCTTGGGTGAAACACACACAGATACGCACACACACACACACACACACACACAGATACGCACACACACACACACAGATACACACACACACACACACACACACACACACACACACACACACACACACACACACACACACACACACACACACACACACACACACACACACACACACACACACACACACACACACACACACACACACACACACACACACACACACACACACACACACACACACACACACACACACACACACACACACAGTTCTGTAACTGCTCTGTCTCCTAGGCTTTGTTTTAAAGTGTATTTTCTGCCGTCCCTTAAGAAATGACCTTCATTCGTTTATTGTGCTCTTAGTTTCTCCTTACCCATCATCCCTTCTGTCCTTCATTGTCCTTCGTTCTTCCTCTGTGACATGCCCTCTTATTCTTTATGTGATTTTCTTGGGTATTAGGGTATTAAAATGATAGCAAAAGTAGTAGATTTAGAATTTAAAACGTGCAAAAGTAAAATAAATTGAAACAAGATATGCACAATTTAAAGGAGCAGTTTGAAAATGTAAAACAATCTAAAGCCTCAAATCAGAGCAAATACTCCCACATTTGGACAATTAAATTACATTTAAACTCAATTAAATGACATTCCATAAAATTGTAACTGCTGAATTACAACCATCGTTATTATAATTCCTTCATTTGAGAACGTCTCTATTATACAGAGAGATGTAATATGGTCACATGCCACTACTGCTGGAGGAGCATGTGACCATATTTAATCAACCTTGAACAAATGGGAATTTTTTTTTGGCTGTGGGTATTCAGTCAGTGCACCACACATGATCCATATGATTTTATAACTGTGTGTTTTGTTCTTATTGTTCTTAATACTTGTTGAACAGTTCTTAGTCCATCACAAGATACTTGGTAAGGCCTCGTCTTCAACTGAGAATGTCAATTGTAGGTGAGTTTGCTCCTGACTTTCTATAGGAAATAAAATGTGGCTTTGGTCTTAAATCCAGGCTTATACAAAATAAACTAAAGTCAAGGGCTTTTTTTATCTGAGCTTTTAGCTAAATCTCACAGTCTTCAATGGAACTGGCTATAGATATACTTATCACTAACCCTAACCGCATCCCACCCATTGTTTAAACCCACTCTTGGATAGCAAGATGTTGGTTTAAATTTCAAAAGGTCTTATCCATCTCTATAAGCCTTCTACCTCATAACAACATCAGTGAGGGTGGTGTTGATGGATCCAAACAGTCATCCAGTCCCTATTTTACAAGTTAAAAAAATACTTATTTTGCCCTGCGATCCAATCCAAATTTAAAGGGATTCATCCTTTGCCCACGCTACACACTTCAACCAACTTTCATTAAAATCCGACCAGTCAGAACAAACAAACCAACAAACAAGCCAATATACCAAAACTAAAAACATTATTTTTTGGGGAAGCACAATTAAATAAGTTAACTACATTTGACCGGAAAAAAGGGTAAACGTTGTTGTCTGACATGATAATCGAGAACTCATGATTTGATGTTGTGTGTCACATTAAGTTGGATATCTGTCTGCTTACCTACCTTCCAATAAGATGATGAGATGGTATGCGATATACGGTGGCAAGCCGGTCTCTGCCATTAACAATACAACCTATATTAAAAATGTAATAACAAAAAGATGGACTGAATGATTATCACTACAAACAACAATTTCGGCCATGCAGTACATAGTTAAAGAACGGGCTTTCATTGTATTTAGCCCATTTCGGAGAAAAATGTCTGCCATCAATGTAATGAAGATGACACACAGACATGATGAGATGCGTTCTGCACTTGTGTTACCTTGGATTGATGCTTTGTGTCTGAATCCATGTGCAGCTGGGACACCTGAGCCCCAAAATCTGTTCCATTATTTTCCATCTGAAGAGAGGGCTACTCAAAGAAAATAAGGTAACTGAATGGATAAATGGGTCATTCAAGTACTACGGTGTAGGCCACTTGCACAAAAGCAGTTTTTGAGTTATCTTTAATGAGTTTTCTGTTAGGGATGGTTTTCTTCATACAATGCTGGTCTGTCTTGGCTCTCAAAAACCTGCTTAGTAACCAAACATGCCATGGCTGATACTGAGGGATTTGAATTGGAGATTGAGTTGGAACCGCGGCACATTTTGACACCACATCTGCTGCCCCTTTCTCTTTTCAATTTGAGCTCATTGCAGGCCGTAAGAATAACCGGCCACTGTGATAGTCACATTCAGCAGTCCAACAATAAAGTTGAAGAGATCCTGCTGAGCAAACTCGTGGTACACAGCTCCTCTGACCATCATGCACTGACAGACACACTGCTGCATACTGCTGTAAAAAGCATTAAAATCAGTGACACAACAGATAACATATTTATCCCGGGAGGAAATTAAGTTTTGTGTTTTTACATTCAGTAATATACAAGAAAAACATCAGCACAGGTTGACAGTCGAACAATGTATAAAAGCATGTCAAACGAGAATTCGGTTGATTAAAATGCACCACACTTCACAGACAAAAAATAATTAGGGTATTATAGGAACAGGTAGAATCCAATTGAGCATTTCTTACAAAACATGTGACATAACAGAACATTAAGATGCTGATACTTCTTCTAGAGCCAGAGATCACTGATCACACTGAGACATATTGAATTAGGAACCTGCTGTAAATCACAGCAGCTACAGTGTGAGGATATCACTGTTGCTAGAGAATATCCTGCTGATCATTTAAAAATAGAATTAATGAAATAAAGTGTCCAGTAAAGAAAGGACCACCATTGAGATAAAAAGGGTAAGAGGTTGGAACATTCGAGGCATTGTTGTCCTAAATGGATGTTTGAATGAGCACTTTTACATTGTGCTAATATGTCAGGGCTGTTTGTTACCCACTTTAAACAACTGTCATCTATCGTCTATTACAGCGAACATGCAATAGACTGTAAGAGCTATGTCATCATGCCTCTGTGTTGGAAGAAGGCAAATGTATGTTGAATAGAGTTAATGGGGAGTATAGCATTAGATGAGTCATTACAGCCAGTTAAATGCATTGCACAAGAACAAGTCATTATCGAACAGTAGGGCTAATGGAACCTTAAGGGCCGCTATTGAACAGTGAGCTGCCACTCTTTTAGATTAACGTAATCAATCATTCAGCCGTAGCCTGAAAGAAAATTCATATAGGGCCATTGGTGTGGCACTTGCTCTTTTGACTCCTATAGTGAGAATGTGATGCACACCTTCTACAAAACATTTCCATTTGTGAGACTGCAGTAGAAGTTGGATGCTAGGTACGTGCTATTAATACTACATATTCATGGACGAGAGAGCACTTTTCTATGAAAGGCGGACTCAGGAAGCAGCAGGCAGCTTCTGAATGGCAAAATGGTTTTGATAATGTGATAGGGGATGCAACTGGACTATGGAGAGGGAGTGGAGAAGGTAAAAGGGGTATAAAACAGACTGGAGAGCAAGGCAAAGAGCCTGGATGTGAATCACTCAGACAGAAAATAAAGCTGCTAAAAGTAGTTTCAGTTGGGGATAAAGGGGCGAGAAAGTACAAGGACTGGGAAGAAAAGAGCATTCAATTATTAGAGTTTCCATGATAGCAGTTTGATTTTCAGTTGGGAATTGGAGACTTGAAGCGGAATACATTGTCACTTGACAATGAAATGTATATAATTACCATTAAAAAAATTGATTATTTAGCATCTGTAATTGACTGTAATATGAAATGGTTGTTAGCCCTTTAGCGTCTTCGGTGTTATTTATTTATAAGTTGCTTCCTTTTTGTACATTTGGTAGGGAGGACCACTTAAGTTAGTTCAGCTCTTGCTGTTATCATCCAACAGTTACTGCTTTACAACTAAACAGGAACATTAATATAGCTTTTTATAACCCTATTTCAAGAATCTAATCATAAAACTTATTGAAAAAAACATTGATTTATAGATGAGGGATCAGAAAATGCCAAATAATTTCTGGGACCAGAGGTCGCGTTAACCGAATATTTTCCGTCTGACGGATTTTTTTTAACAATGACAGAAAAATCTGAAAGCAGTCCGTCATTTTGACGGATTAGAACAAACTCGGAACAGCGCCAAAGTTACCCCGCAGCGAGGCTCCGGTGTTAAGCATGCCTGCCAAAAAGGAAATGATACCGTTTCTAAACCCAACTTTGCCTTACAAATCATTGAAATGTCTGTGAGTTTTGGCTTTACGCTGTGCGCACTCCCGCAAGGTGCAGTGGGCATGCATAACACGGTGCTAACAGTTCACGACTGTGCTCTCCACCCCCCCCCCCCCCGCTTGACAGTTCTCTCTTCCCCCCCCCCAACCAGAGTGTAAAGGCCGACGGGTAATAATGAATTTTGACGGAAATGTACGATCCAGTGAAAAATTGTAGCGCAACCTCTGTCTGGGACATAAACCAATTTGGGATAGAATTAGCATGGTGCAGCTCTTGGGCTAGATTTGGACTGAAGTCAGCCAATTGGATCAGGCCAAGAATTCCCAAGCCTATTATGGTTGGTCAAACCATTTTTGACACATCATCAACACCATTCTTCTCTTTCTATTATGTTTATAGGCATTCACCACTGTCATTCTGCCACTGCCACTCTCTCAAGGTGTTCTCCAGGGCCACGTGTTTGGTCTCCTTCTGTTTATATTGTAATGGCTTTCTATTTACTTCAAAATCATTACCTGCCAACCAGTTCCCCAACCAGTTCACCACCTGCTACCACCAGCCAGCTTATGCCATTCTCCCTCATTTTCAGCCACAAAGCTCCAGCTGGTGCAGCCAGATCTCAACGCCCTTGTGCCCTCTGCCATCTCCCGGCTCATTCCACTTTCATTCCTTAATTCCCTTCATTCATCTCACTAT